AAAAAAAAAAAAAAAAAAAAAAAAAAAGGCAAATAAGAACCAGTGTTGGTGGCTGCTGTCAAATGAGCCTTGTAGGGTGAATAAAATATGCCTGGACTCTGGAGTCGAATGCAAAAGAAATATTGTTCATTGTCTCATTAGAAGGTGTCTTCAAGACAGACGTGGCAATATCCAAGGCTCTTGGTCCTGGCCTTTGTGTCAAAATTAGATGAATGAGAACATCAATCACTTAATTAATGAAATACTGTCTAAATATAAAAATACATGTCTTGGCACATTATAATGTGTTAAGAAAACAGTAAGATCCTGATTTAGATGTCTGACTCCCTTACTTGCCCTTCATTGGCTAAAGATAGTTCAGACTTTATATGGTAAAGCCAGTGTTCTCAGTATATGGAAAATTTAAAATTCTCTTTTATTAAAAGGAACAAAAGCAAAAACAAAACCTTATACTGTTAAATTAATGAGTGTATAAATGACTCCAAAGCACTTGTTCTCAACCTGTGGGTTGCAACCTTTTCACAAGGGTCGCATATAAGATCCTGCCTATCAGATATTTACATTATGATTCGTAACAGTAGCAAAATCACAGTTATGAAGCAGCAATGAACATAATTTTATGGTTGGGGTTCACCACAACATGAGGAACTGTGTTAAAGTGTTGCAGCATCAGGAAGGTTGAGAATAACCACTTTAAACCATAGATAAAGTTAAGGGCCAATGGGGAGAGTGCCTCAATCTGGTTGTCTTAAATTTTTTTTAACCATGTGTTCTTTTTCCTGTTCTTCCCCATGGTCTGGTGTGATGGGATTCTCCGTGGTAAAGTTCTCCATGGTCCATCTTGGTCAGAAACCTCGAGGATGATGTAAGTAATATTTAATAATTAAGGTGCCTGATAATCCAACCGACTAATAGCTCTGGGTGGAAAGGAAATGATGCATTTGTGTCAAAGGGACGCCTTCACTCACACTCACCGTAGTGCTATCTACAGGTGCCAAAGTGGGACAGCCTTGAGCAGCCACTAGCTGATGAGTGGATGAAGGAATGTGATAGATATCACGAGACACTGCTCCTCCAAATAAAAGTTAACTGTACCCTAACGAGAGATTGATGTCAGCTGTTCTGATTACTGATTGATCACCGCCACACTGAGGCCAATTAACAAAAGATAAAGTCTCAATTGGATAGGATTCTACAGACAGATGTTAACCTGTCAAGCATCATGTTCATTTTTGTGAATCAGGCTATTTTATTGATTTACTTGGATTAGTAACTTAGAAAAAAGTAAATTCAAATAAAAAGTAGGAGGTTAAAACATGAACCAATGTTGATAGCAGCTATTGAGAGTGGGCCTTACACACTACATGAATCATCTGGACTCTAATAGCCAATAAAAATGTAAGATAGTTCATTTTCTTGGTAGAAGACATCCTCCAGACCAGTGGTTTTCACCCTGTTGGTCATGAATCCTTTGGGGGTTGAATAACCCATCACAGGGATCACATGTCTGATATGCCTGTGAGATGCCTTAGCACAATAGTTCTCAACTTGTGGGTCACAACCCCCTTTGGGAACACCTATCAGATATCCTGCATGTCAGATATTTACATTATGATTCACAACAATAGCAAAATTACAGTTCTGAAGTAGTATGAAAGTAATTTTATAATTGGGGGTCACCACAACATGAAGAACTGAATTAAAGGGTTGTAGCATCAGGAAGGTTGGGAACCACTGCTCTAAACGTATTTAGAAATATCTAAGGACTCAGAGGCTGGTGCCTGTGTTTATATATGTTGATTATGTGACTAGAATTAAGCAATAAAACTATTATTCAATCAATTACTTATGTATTAATCAAATGCAAACATGAAGTATGTCAGGAGCACTTTGATATGTTGTTATAAAAACAGTAAAGCACAGTGGGAAATAAATATAACTCCTATACTACCATCCTCAGCGAACATAGACATTAGATGTTCAAGCTTTGTTTATCATCTGGATGTGGGACTATTTTAAAGTTCTTTTTAAATTAAATTGTTTCTATATATTTTGTTAAGGTAAAAGCATACTTTATTAAATTAATGAGTGAATAAGTCAATTCAGAAAGCAAAGCTAAAAACCAAAGGTCTATAAAAAGAATGTCCCAGCTTTTCACTTTCTTTGTTTATCTGCTCTGCTCTGTGTGCTTCCCAATGGAATCATCTGAGCTGAGGCTGGAATTCTCCATGGCTGGTGTTAGGCAGTGCATTTCTCACTAGACTCTGGAAATCAAAATGAGTAATAGGTATAAATCTTGTTTTATTGTTCCTGGACAATTAATTTACTCTCTGTTTCAAAAATATGCAGTGAGGGAAGGTCTAGTGCACTCAATTTGGGACACTGATGAATATCTTAACTGAGTAACTGATATAATGAAAACTTGACCTTAGATAACAAAAGGCTATGGGTATTACATCCCAAATAGCATATTCTTCATATATATATCATTGGCTTCAAGAAACATCACTGGTGGGTTAAAGGATTACTAACCAAACACTGTAGATAAGAATGAAGAGCGATTAGCCTGCCCCTGGATCAGTGATCATAACTGCTGGTATATGAGGCCCAGATGATGAATGACATGTGTCTGAAACTCTGAGGTCCAACATAAATGATGAATGCAGAAGCAAGGGTCTATGGAAGAGAGAGTCGTTTTTTATCCCTTGTTCTGTTCTCTTTTCCCCAGAATTGCTTCTCCTGGGGAGATTTCTGCATATCCCACAGTTACCCAGTCATTAGTCATATCTCTAGGTTAGATCTTGGGACAAGTGTAAATAGTAGACAAGACAAGTGATTCAGTGATTCAACCAATAAACAAAGTAGAAGCGATAGAGAAAAACAGGTCCAATCCTGGATTGATGATGATCATGGGTGGCATATGAGCTCTTGTCAATGAATATGTGTCTGTAACACTGAGTTCATATCTGAAGACACATATATTTTCCATGTTCGTATACTCATGCTATTATTGTAATTGGACCAGTGAACAACTCAAGGAAATATATATATAATCTATCAAGATAAAGCCATGATGATGGGTGAAGCATCATCCAATTGTAAAATACATGACTATATAAGAATGTAATAATGTACACTGAACACACCGACCTGGTAGGAGAAGTACATGGGTCCTCACTGTGAGCTTTTGTTTAAGAGTCATGTACTCAGTTCAAATGTAGACCACAACTATGTTCTGAGGGAAGGTCACATTTGTTCGTTTTCTGAAGAATGGAATTAATTTTCTAATAATGATTGATAAATGAATGACCATGTGAAGGATGATACGGACTGATCCACTATCTCAGCTGTGTTATGTTTTACCCCATGCCTCACAGAGAGGATGCTCTTGGGAAGACTACGTGTGGATGTTCTCCTGAAGAATGGCATATTCTTCCATGGTGAGTGGCTTGCAGCTTGCTTCTCTGTGCTAGAATGTGGGACAAATGTAGCAGCCAATGTTGTCTTTGTCAGGGTCTCTTTGAAAAATGGCATTCTATTTATTTTTTTAACTATTTTCTACCATCAAAGGTGCCAACCTTGCCAATTTTAATATCAATTTGACAGAAGCATGGTAGTAATTTCTCCATGCATATGGCACTGATGATAGTCATGGATTAATTTACTTTTTCTAACAGAAAAATTCAGAGGTGTGTGTTATTCATCCTTGTGGATATTATTCTTATGTTTTGTCATTCATGTATATTTCTTCATGACCTATTCTGTATTACTGTCAGGTGATGGCCAGTCAAAACCAAGGTTGACAACTGTTGCATGTGAGCCATTTGCAATCAATACTCATTAGTATTAAATATTAAAATATACAATATTAAATATATTAAAATATACAATAAGGAAAATGAATATTCATATAAATTGAAATAAACAATAAGTTAACCCATTGTTTCATCCACTTTGAATAACCCAAGCAACAGTTGATCATTGCTCATGACCTATGACAAGATTGAAGTATATACTGTGAAATGAAATATAAATAAATATCACAAAAAACTAAATGACATAGTAGTGATATAAGGGAAAGGCTGGATGTATGGACCAGGGGAATGGATGTCTCACTAATTGCCTTTATGGTCTTACATGAGTTCTGCTTTGATGGAGACTTGGCAGCACAGACCTGAGAAAAATAACTGCAGAGTTCTCCTTCTCCTTTAAGTGCTGGATTGAAATGTGAAGTTTGTTAAACTTTATGTATCTTATTAAGAGATATGATGTGGAATATGATTACTTTTCAGTCTTGAGCCTCACACAAGTCACTTACCAAAGAGTCCCAGATTCAAATGAAAAATGATTGGACAGAAAATGATAAACTCTTAAGGGCTTGTGTTTTTATGTTTTTGTGATCCATGTTTTTCTATTTTTTATGTGTAATTGGCATTGCAAGGCCAATATTCATATTGAGGGGTCACAGGATCACCCTTTGGTTTGTTCTACCTCACTCAATATGACAGGTAAGATGTGCCATGACTTTAATGCCCAACACAAAACAATCTGATTTTCCTGTAATAATCACCCAATAGTCACACTTTGGAGTGCTGATATTTTCCTTGGGTTCAATATAATTAGATTTAGGGTGGGGGTTTTTTTGTTTGTTTTTTTACCATAAGTGAAGAATTGTTCAATTACAAAAATACCTAATGAGATTGTCAACACTGTACTAGATTATGAACAGACTGGTGATTATAGTTCCTATAGACCTATAGTATCATATTTAGAGAGGTGATAAGCACACACATAAGTCAATCACCTTGATTTGATCAAATTTATGCAGCAAATAACAAACTAATCTACAATAATGTCTGTGTTTCTTACATGTTGGCCACAAATTTTAAGAAAAGCATTGGACAAAACAAAACAATTTTCTACACTGATGTTATTATTATGTACCATATGCATGTGTTTAATTTGCATTCTACAACCTATAAATTGACGGTTAAATAGTAATTAATACAAAACTCAAAATTTTTATGTTTATCTAGTATAAAACAGTCAGATAATAGAAATAAGTAAAGGGGACTGATAAATGACAAATGTCAGCACCTGAGTGTTGGATGATAGGACCAGATATCTGGAACTTGGAAGTCCAACCCAAAGATAAGTGGATAATCAAAGTTAGGAAAAGTTCTGTTATATTTCAGCCTCTGCTGTGTGTTGCACTCACTAGAGTGAGCATTCCTAAGGGGATCATGCCATCTTCTGTGCTCACCAGCTGACTGGTTGCCTGTGTTAGAACTTAGAGCCTAAGTGAGTGCTAGGTGATAGTATTGGCATGGTTTAGGAGGTTTGCCAAAAGTTAGTCCCTTCACTATCTAACAGTGCGAAGGGAGGAGCAGTGGGATGGCTCAAACTAAAGCCTGATGACCTTAGCTGGATATTTAGAACCCTAAAGTTCTCTATTACTTCCTCAGCTCTATTCTTCAAAACAGATAAATAAGTGTATATAAATTAACGTGCAATATTATTTCATTAGCTCAAAAGTGATCGATGAAATAAATTAAAGTATCATGAATTAGAACATTGAATTGGACATGCCTGTACAAAACCAAGGCTTATCAATGAATGGGAATTGATGTGAGCTTCCAGCTTCTCTCAGTGTTCAGGGAGAATAATAGAGATTTCCATTGTTACTAGGAAATAAATGATTAAATAAACAGTCAATATTAAAGTGAATAAATGATTGATGAACAGAATCAGTGTAAGTCCAGAGAGATACTCATGTGTCAGTCTCCAAGGTCCATCTGGCAGATGTGCACTTCATGTTCACATATTTCATGTTTTAATTTAATTCCTTCAATATCACTCCAAAAACAAAAATAGAAAAGTATAAAGAAAAAGGGGAAAGAGGGAATATTCCTCCAATTATAAAAATGAGGACTAAGGTAAAAATCCCTGTGGTACACCAATGTACTAATTCCAAAAAGAAGCAGGGATCATGTTGATCATAAGTTGTATAAAGATGGGATAGAGGAAATTACAGATAATGTCTATCTTCTCATTTAGTTTCAACTAGGTCATTTTGTAAAAGATAATATGAATAATTTCTAAATTATTATATAACACCAAAGTAGTTCAATGTAAGAAAACATCAAAGCAAAATGGAGGGGTGCATTAATGTGGTCTACACACCCCAAGTAATGCTTTCAAGTGGACTGACAGATTTCTCCAAGTACAGCAGACTAGAGCAACAGTGCTGTGTAGAGCTGAGGGAAGACATGAGTAGCAGGATGATGCTGTTGGAGGCTGCTATGTGCATAAGTGCCATGAAATTACAGATTTCTAAGAAACCCACTGTTAATATAATACTGGGAGAAGTAATGTGTGCTGACTGTAAAAGGCAAACTGTCTACAATATTGAAGAGATTGTGCCTCTGATTCATTAAATCTGTACAGTTTGGAAGATAATTAACACAATTTTAATATATTCATGATATATGAGTTCATCATATAAATAATCAAGGATTCAATATAGATGTTAGAAAACAGGCTCACTCTGAAAGGAATGATACATTATGAGAGCATTTGATTGATGATAGATGAATTAAAGAATAATAGAAATTGAAGGCCAGGATATATGGCGGCCTCTTGTGCAAAGTGAGAGATGCTAGTCTAACCAAAAAAGGCCAGCAGTTGTACTAAAATGATATCACAAAAGGACGGAACAATGGCAGAAAGGAGAGAGAAGAGGAATTCCATGAGAATTGAGGGTATGGAAAGAGTAAACGATAAAAAATACAGGGTAGTAAAGAAAATTATTGACCGTAAATCTGTCTGAATCTCTAAAATTTATTAACTCTGAAGAAGAGGGCAAAAAAAAAGAACAGTAAAAGGAAAAAGAACAGGCAAAAACTTAAAATACCAAAGGTAACAGCAATTAAAGAAGGAAGTCTCAAAATTAACAAGAGATTCTCTGAATTCAACAATACAGAGATATTGAAAAGACACTGAAGATAGACACTGATGAAGAATTCAAGAAAAGAAAGATCGCTCCATAGAATGTGGTGGCAGACAGCAACAGCTTTGATCCTCCTGTGGACACCTGTGGACAGGTGAGGAGTGTCTCGAGGAAAGCCTCATGGTTCAGGCGGGGTAAGGCAAAGAGTGACCTTGCTGCTGGCTGGAAGAGCATCTGGTGAGATGTCCCAGAGCAGAGTAGCCTCCTCTAGTGTGGCCTCCCGATGTGCCACACTGACCAGTGAGTGAGCCCATCCCGAGGGCTCCAGAGAGAGCACCCAACCCGGGACCGATGATGAGATCTGGTGGAGTCTGAGTGTTTCTCGATGACAGCCGTCTTATCCGAAATCTGAGGTCCGACACAGAGCAATGGCCCTTGGGCTGCCTCGGGTGCTCTCCTAGATGCTAGGGACAGAGAGAAAGAGAGCAAGACCAGTCCTGTGAAGCAGACGGACGTCCATTAGCCAAGGAAACATGGGTGGCAGCTAGGCAGAGTCAGGGCAAAGTGGTTGGGACTTTGACCTATATGGGAGTAGAAAACAAAAAATCTCAGCATGGAGTCTCCACACATCTTGGGGAGACGTGAGGGGAGATGAGCTGCAGAATTTCTGTATAATAGCACAGTTTGCTAAGAAAAGGGCCAGGCATTTTTCCTTGACAATGGCAAGAATTTAGTGTGCCCTGGAGAGAACAGGTGCAGCCTAGGGAAAGCAGAGGGCCAACAGTGATGTCCTACAGTCTCTCAACTTTTTCTCTCCCTTCTCTGCTCTGTACCCTCCAGAATGACCCACAAGACTCATGACTACAGCTTTCAGACTTTGAGACAAAACCCGAAACCCCACTTCCCCCCCCACACACACAAACTCTGCAAGACCTGGGGGCACCATGAGAGCACAGAGCCCTGTATACTGAGAGCCAACCATCTGACCTTCTTCTGGAACCAGATGATAGGTATGTCCTCTGGCCTTAAGGT